GTACCTTTTCAAATTTAATTATAAACTTATAGTTAGATAAGTTATCTAATTATCAGTTTAATTAAATTTGAGAAAGTACATAATTTTGAGACTAATCAAGAAAGAAATACGTCCAATTTTAGCGAAAAAAAAAACAATTCACTTTTTATAAACCATTCATTTATTAATATTAAAATAACATATTTTCACTGAAAAACTGTTAGTTCCCATTAAGTTAAGATATATATTTCTAATAATCTTATGTCATCTACATCTTAAAATATGTAGATTAATAATAAAGATGCGAAATGTAATATTACAGTAAAAATAAATTAACATTCAAATAAGATTTATTACAAAACTATGAACTTACTTTTCACACTATGTAAGCTAGGCAATATCCAAAACTAGGATTATTTCATGGCAAACGATATTTATTTAGTCCAAATAAATCCTTTTTTCAGTGCATGCAGAAATCAGTTAAATCCCCCCCGCTACCTGGAGGCAGTTTTTGGGGAGGGAAGGGGTGGATTTAGGGCTTTGTGCCCATGAGACTTTTGATCTACATGTTAAAAACTATCAACCTGCGAGGTTTTAAAAAAATTGGCCAAAAGCCACTTCCCATAAGAAAAGTGCTTGTTCCTTTATAAAATAAATAATAAATCTAAAGTCTATCTTTAACAATCCGTATCTCTTACACGAGCAATACCTTGTTAGGTTATATTTGGCTAAATCTCATTTTCATGTCTAGAATCTATAGTTTGTTACTCTATGGCCCAATTATTACAGACGACCCTGTATACTTACTAAATTATTAAAGTAATTGGGAGAATAATTTTAAAAAGTAAATTTTCCAAAAATTTAGCATTAGGTTTCATAAGGATGTAATTTTTTTACTCTTTTCACATTTTGTAATAGTTTTTCAATTTCCAGCTATCTCTAAAACGATGCCATCAACATTTAACATCAGTTAAATAGATAAATCAAGAAATTGTCCAATAATAACAAATTTATCTACATTTTGCAATAACCCGAACGGTTATTTTGCGGCTTTTGCGGCTGTTTTTTTAGCAGTTATACAGGGTGTTCCCATTTTAAGTGTCTTGAATGAAACAAGTAATTAACAATTACTACTACAATTAATAACAAGAAAAATTAATTTTGAGTTATTGCGAAATAAATTTCTCTTATTATCACTTTCAAACCTTATATGTATCTTTTTTGTTAACGGTTTCTCGATATTTTTTTATACGAAACCTCTTGCTTAAAATTATTTTTTCTATTACCTGTTTCATTTAAACCACTTAAATCGGTGACACCTTGTAATAAGCTTTGAATCCAAGTCTCAGTATCAACATGAACACAGGGTGTTAGAAGTTTGACTGCCCTAATTTTAACAGGCTATAGAATGCATTAAAATAAAGAAAAAAAACTTTATATGACATGGGTCATCAACCATTTCTGAGAAAAAAATATTATTAAAATCTCCAACTTAATCTACAAAAGTTCGATTAATTAAGGAATATTGACATAACTGCGTACATGGAATACCATAAAATACAATGTTTGTCACTTTTTTGAACTTCTTTATGCTTAATTCTAAAAAATAATTACCGTTGTAATATATTTAAAATTCGATAAAACTCATATCGATCAATGTGACAACGGGGCGGCGGATAACACGAGGTACTAAGCTGTCCAGCAATACGCAATTCAGTTGGTATCTGGAATTGGACCGTGTCTGAGTGTTTTTTGCGTACCACTACTTCATTTTCTTGAAGTGTTTTGCAGCAATTACATATTTTTCAAATTCATAATTATTCATTGGTTAAAAGTTCCTGTTTTAAGAGGCTCATAATTATTAACATTCGAGCTAAAATTTAAGCACAACATTTATTTAGTTACTACTATCAAAATAAATGAAATAGACCCCTGGGTTTGGAAACCGATATTAAGAAAACGTAGGGGAAGAAAATTTGAAATTTGGACCATATACAGCCTCACTATTACTCTATTGTGTGTTAAAATTTTAGTTAGTTTCGTTATCCCATTTTTTAGTTATTAATGAAAATGAAAAATCACGGTTTTCTGCCAACAAAATTGATACCTCTCACTTTAACTCGTCGTAATTTTTTTGTTAATCGATAAAAAAATTCCAAATTTTTACTGACGATAAGTCGAACTATTGTCTTCAGTACTATGTAGGTCATTTGTCTCAAAAGCTCTTCTTTTTTTAATTTTAAGCAAAACAGAAGGGAGTGCTATCTCCATAAATATTGAATTCTTTAAAAAAGAAAAAACTGACTCAAGTAGTAAATAATTGTAAACAACAATCTGAAAAAATTTGTTAAAATAATACAGTTCTAAAGGATATACTGTATACCCTGCATCGGACCGTGAACGTAATTGACCATTCCGATACTGTTTTTAAGAATGTCATATTTATAACTGTATTATTTTAACAAATTTTTTCAGATTGTTATTTAGTTATTTACTACCTATGTCAGTTTTTTTCTTTTTTAAAGAACACAATATTAACGAAGCTAGCACTCCCTTCTGTTCTGCTTAAACATAAAGAAAGAAGAGCTTTTGAGACAAATGACCTTTACGGTACTGAAGACAATAGTTCGCCTTATCGTCAGTAAAAATTTGGAATTTATTTATAAATTAACAAAAAAATTACGACGAGTTAAAGTGAGAGGTATCAATTTTGTAGGCAGAAAACCGTGATATTTTTATCATTTTCATTTATAACTAAAAAATGGGATAACGAAACTAACTGAAATTTTAACACACAATAGAGTAATAGTCAGGCTATACAGGGTGATTAATTAATAATGGGAAAGTCGAAAGTTGAAGATACTACACGTGAAATGATGACGATTGGCACAAACATGACTTATCCGAAAGTTAATAGTTTCGGAAATACAGGGTGTTGAAAGTTATAATTTTAAATCGTTTTTTTGCGATTATTCTGAAAATATGTAGGTTAGGAACTTGAAAATTTGTGAAACTATATTTTTTTAGGCGACGAATAAGATGCGTGCTGTAATTTCATCATTGTTCGTAGAGGGCGTCACTTACGACCAATTTTACCGAAAATTTAGTTAATAACTTTTTACCCTGTATATTTAACATGAAACTTGATTCAAAACCTGAAAGAGCTATCATTTTTCCATTAATTATGTACTCTTGTTTCATTTCGGTATCTCGATCCGTTTTCGAGAAAAATCGATTTAACGAACACTATGTTTTGATAATATGAGAAATTAAAAGCGAAACAAACCAAGTGTTTCTTCGTGTTATTACAACAATTAACAATAAAACAAATAAAATACGTAATTATGATTTAAAGTAATTGTTCGAAGAATCCACCGTTGACACTGATACACTTTACACGTTTTCTGAGAGATCTTCGAGTTTGAAACAACATATTGGGATTGCGTCTGACTTCGTTGGCAGCGATTTGTATTCTTTGCCACAACTCTTCACACGAGCCAATAGATTCTTTGTAAACTATATCTTTCATTCGAGACCAAATAGAAAAATCAAGAGGATTGAAGTCCGGACTTCTGGATGGCCAAGCAAAAATGCTTACATGGCCAATCCAGCGATTTGGAAAAACTGCATCTAAATATGCACGCACTGGCCAAGAAAAATGCGGTGGAGCTCCGTCGTGCATGAACCACATGTCTCTTCTTAAATAAAGTGGAACTTCTTCAAGCCGTGGAAGCATTTTTACTTGGCCACCCAGAAGTCCGGACTTCAATCCTCTTCATTTTTCTATTTGGAAGAATCTATTGGTTCGTGTGAAGAGTTGTGGCAAAGAATACAAATCGCTGCCAACGAAGTCAAACGCAATCCCAATATGTTGTTTCAAACTCGAAGATCTCTCAGAAAACGTTGTGTAAAGTGTGTAAATGTCAACGGTGGATTCTTCGAACACTGACTTTAAATCATTATTACGAATTTCATTTGTTTTATTGTTAATTGTTGTAATAACACGAAGAAACACTTGGTTTGTTTCGCTTTTAATTTCTCGTATTATCAAAACATAGTGTTCGTTAAATCGATTTTTCTCGAAAACGGATCGAGATACCGAAATGAAACAAGAATACACAATTAATGGAAAAATGATTGCTCTTTCAGGTTTTGAATCAAGTTTCATGTTAGACATACAGGGTAAAAAGTTATTAACTAAATTTTCGGTAAAATTGGTCGTAAGTGGCGCCCTCTACAAGCAATGCTGAAATTACAACACGCATCTTATTCGTCGCCTAAAAAAATAAAGTTTCACAAATTTTCAAGTTTCTAACCTACATATTTTCAGAATAATCGCAAAAAAAACGATTTAAATTAAGTTTCAACATCCTGTATTTCCAAAACTATCAACTTTCGGATAAGGCATGTTTGCGCCAATGGTCACCATTTTACGTGTAGTATCTTCAGCTTTCGATTTTCCCATTGTTAATGAATCACCCTGTATATGGCCCAAATTTCTAATTTTTCTACCCCTACGTTTTGTTAATATTGATTTGCAGGGGTCAGGGGTCTATTTTATTTATTTCGGTAGTAGCTCAAATCTTATCAGTCTGTGTTAAACATTTTTAGAAATACTTTTGTGAATGCGAATATTTTTCAAAATCTTGAAGTCTAGATTTTGAAAAATTTTATTTTTATAATATTCCGTGTAATCATCTTTTGAAATATTTTTATGTAAATACTTCTTGTGTACTGGTATTTCCTAGTAGTAGGTATGGTAGTTGGACTATTCTGATTTAGATTATCGTTTGTTCACTTTTTACTTATATCACTAGTTAGAAGATAAAATGAAGTTGTCAGAGTTAAAGGCAGATTGTTCGCATTGATATTGACTTATATTAATTCTACTACTACTAGTATAATAAAATTACAGCGTTGGATATTTCAAATTTAAATTTATTTTGCAGTTCACTGTTCATCCTTAAACTTTAATACTTAACACAATTTACAGAACAAATCTATTAACATCACTTACATACTTACGGTAGTATACCGGCCAACATGTTTTTAGTTTTTTGAGAAAGATCGCGAGGAAAACGTATGTCAAAACTGACCACCAAATCACCTCGCTTGGACGGCTCTTTTGGGAATGGCAACCCATGCCCTTGAACACGTTTTACTGTATCGGGCCAGATGATTTCGTTTTTATAATCCAGAGTCATATTTCCACCCCCTAGAAGTGGTACGTTTACAGTGCACCCACAGAGAGCTTGCTTCAGAGTTACTTGAGCCGTGAATTTAATATCGCTCCCTTCTCGTTTGAAGAAACGGTGTGGTTTGTCACGAATTACGAAGACTACGTCAGCAGGAATCCTGTCCGTACCTTGATCGCCTTCCTTTGGAAATGTCACTTTTGTGCCAGCTTTCCATCCCGGTTTTACGTCGATAGTGAGCATCTTTTCCTCCCTCTCCAATCTGCCGTTCCTAGGAACTTTTCGCGTGATTTTCATATTTTTCTTGCAACCAGTTAATATGTCCTCTAAGGATATATACAAGTCGTATTCAATTGGTGGGTCTTGTCTTCTCGGTGAACTTCTGCTGCTTCTGGATATGTTGAACAGAGAATTAAGGGGATCGTGGGAACTACTTCCGTATGAATCGTCAAATGCAAAGAACTCTTGGAACGGGTTAGTGTTTCCAAAAAACTGAGCGAAAGTTGCTCTTGGATCTCCATGGAAAGTGTACGTAAAACTTTCTCCATTGACACCGGGACCACCTCCAGGAACACCACCCTTAAGGCCCTCCTCTCCATAAGCGTCGTATATATCACGTTTCTTTTTATCGGAAAGTACCTCGTATGCTTCAGCGACTTCTTTGAACTTTGCTTCGGCTCCAGGAGATTTATTTTTGTCTGGGTGATACTTTAGTGCTAATTGCCTGTATGCTTTTTTGATTTCATCATCACCAGCATTTTTTGGTATACCTAGAATCTTATAGTAATCTTTACCCATGGTTTATCAACCTCATTTGCATTTGACAACATTAAATGTCAGTAATGTCAGTGACTTGTATTTTGACAGGGGCAACTAGATACTAAAGGTGCAATTATTGGAATGTGACGCAATATATTTTTTTATAACATGAAAACTACTTGATTTGTTAATAATTTTATGACAGTTTCTATGACATTTACTTTGAATAATCTAAATCGTGTTCAGTTTTGATAAAGAAGCTATATTTTAATATTTTCTCTTACAAATACTTCTAAATACGTGTTGTGAAGAACTATTGATACCTGCTTACTCACTATTACATCTTCCTGAACATATATTTTAATTTGTTACAATAGTTACACGAATTCAGTTCACATAAACTTTTTTTGTAAAATTGTCATTAAAAATTAGATTTTTAATTCATTAATAAGTGAACTAAAAATTGACTTTTGTAATGTTACGTGTCAAAAACACTTTTATCTACGACTATTTAATAATAGACGCATTATAATTGTGATAGTAAGTACATAATGTAACTCATATTACACACCCGTGGAATATGAGTTTCATATTCCACAGGTGTCGAATATGAATTTTTATACGTATCCCTTATAGCTTCTGACCGCGCTACAAAATAGAATCGAGCTTGCTTGAATTATTGTTACTATGGTAACTAATGTAATTGATTTGACAACACTTCGCAAAATAAAACATTTTTGACTTTTGCAGTAATTTTGCAGTTTAATTCTGACAGTGAAAATGAAATTCGATGCACCCCTCCTGAAATTCGTGAAGCCGCGAAATTAGCATCATTGGAATTACTTCCAGAGAAATCACGAAAAAATTACACAATTGTATATAACAGCTTTATGGACTGGCGACTAAAAATTGTCACAAATTCGTTTTCCGAAGACACTTTGTTGGTATATTTCAAGGAATTGACAAAAAATGTAAATGGTCTACATTGTGGAGCCATTGTTCCATGCTTAAGAGCACACTTAACCTTAAACATAATATGAATCTTACGCAAAAGTTCGAGTTTATTAAAAAGGCAGTCAGAAGGCTACCAACCCAAGAAATCAAAGGCATTTACTGGAGATGAAATATACAAATTTATAACTGAAACACCGGATACTAAGTCGTAGATAAAGTATAGTATTTGCCTCGCGTATAATGGCTATATTACACGAGCCGTAGGCTCGTGTAATATAGCCTACATTATACGCTCGTTAAATAATATACTATTAATAGGTAATAGTTTAAAAAAAACTTTAACACTAGTGTTAAAAATAAAATGCTATATACTATATAGTAATATGCATTCTTCTCAAGATAATAGAAAGCTGTATTAGTACAGCTGAAAATAATTGAAGCTGAAAATCAGCTGTAACCTCCAAATTCTTTGAAAGAAAGATTTGCATGAAAATTTAGAATAAGACTCATCTTAGGCTCAAGTTCAAAAGTGACATAAGCCCGATTGACGTGTTTTGTTTTTTAGTGGTAATAACTACCCCTAACTGAAAAATATTGAAAAAATTAAGTTTTAAGCATTTTATTGATAAAAATCTTGTTCAAGCACAAAGATTAAATAATGTTGCATGTTCTCGAACATGTTTTATGCTATTTTGATCTTTTCGACCCTTTATTTAACCCTTAAAAACTACCCACATGCAGGAAATAATGATAAAAAATTACTTTTTAAACATTTGGAATGATTAAATCGCGCAATTATTTAAAATAAAAGTTACCTTATAGCTAATAAAATAATGTTTCCCTTTCAACCCCTAAAAACCACCCCTGTATTGACAAAAATGATAAAAAATTACTTATTAAAAGCTTGGAATGCTTTAACGGTGCAATTATTTAAAATAAAAATTCCCTCATTGATTATGAAAGAATTTGTATCTCATAACACTTTTCAACGCTTATAAATCACCCCTGTGCTAAAAAAATGATAAAAATTACGTGTTAAATCTTGGAATGCTATAATTGTGCAATAATTTAAAATAAAAATTCCCTTATATTGTTCATGAAAGAATATTTTACTTTTGCCATTTTCAACTCTTATAAACTACCATTTTACCAATATTAACTTAAAATTAAAATTTTACAATAAATACTTTTATTATAATCGATTTTTAAATATAATCAATCATAAAAAAAATTGATACGCTGCGCTGCATATAAATAATCACTAAATTATTTTACTTATTTTATTTGTATAATATAATATATAATATATAAAAATGAGAAAGCCTATTTTGCTCCGTAAAAATGTCATTTTTTTTTACCATAACTCGGTTAATTTTGAAGCTATGGTATCCTACAAAAAAGCATTTTAAAGATAATTTCAAGAGCTGTAAGATCGTTTGCATATAAAATCTTTCAAGTCCTTCGTTTTTTAAAGGGAAAGGATCGAAGGGCTCGAGACAGGTCGTTTTTTCACTAAAATGGATACTTCAAGCGGCGATATCTCCTTTATTTTTTATGCCATGGGAATAAAAAGCAAAATATTTGTTGAGAAAAAAGCTACATTTTTGTTGTCTATCATTTTTTACGTATCTTTCATATTTTCAGAGTTATTATATAAATACGACAATTTCTCTTGAATAATGAATAATACGTTTTCAACTTTTACCGTACATTATTCAAAAAATACGCATTATAAACCGGTCTAACTTCAGGACCGTATGAAAAACACTAAAACAAAACTAATTCTAAACGGTCTACGATTAATTTTAATTCTGATGGAAATGCTACAGTGTTTACTGCTCATTTTTCCTTAAAAAATATGAGCAACCCATCTGTTTTCGACGATAACTCCTTCAATTTTGCTCTAATTAACTTTTATAAGTGCTCATTTTTTTTAAAGGTCTTTTTGAGTACTACAAAAAACGCCAAATTTGGCATGACTCATCTTCTTATAAGATACCATTTTTCCATAGAAGTAGAAGTCCCGCAAGCAACCAGTGGCGGAGTTATGGGGACTCAGACTCATTAAATTATTAAAAAAATTAATACGGCCCTACTAAAAATACAAAATGATACTGTTTTTAGATAGAACAGTTTGTTATTGACAAAAACTGTACATTCACTTTTTTTTCTAACTCTTATAGTTTCATGGCAAAACTGATTTTTCGGAAGGGTGCTTCTGGATTTTGTCGATAAACTTTAGGAAGACGTTCCTCATAAAACCTAAAAAATATAGTACCTATTAAAATTGGTCTTAGTCTCGAGTATGTGTGAGTCAAATAACCCTTTCTGTATCTGCTTCCCTTGGGTTTAACCAAAAAATTATTTAGGAGATGCTTCGTTTTTGAGATATAGGGTGTTTTTTTTTTAGAAAAGAAGAGTTAGGAAAAAAAGTGAATGTACACTTTTTGTCAATAACGAACTGTTCTATCTAAAAACAGCATCATTTTTTATTTTTAGTAGGGCCGTATTAATTTTTTTTATAATTTAATGAGTCTGAGTCCCCACAACTCCGCCACTGGCAGCTTGCGGGACTTCTACTTCTATGAAAAAATGGTATCTTATAAGAAGATGTGCCATGCCAAATTTGGCTTAAATAGCCTTCTTCATTCAGAAGTTATTTAAAAAATTCGATTTTTTTTTTATAAAATTTTTTAACGCCCTATATTTCGAAAATGAAGCGTCTTTGGAAAAAAAATTATACTTGATGTTTTTCTTATTTTTTTATGAGGAATATCTCCTTAAAGTTTGTCGACTTAATTCTGAAACACCCTGTTTGTTATATCATAACGTTGCTGCGATTTCTGGGGCAACAGATCTATTTGCGGCTTCTTCAACATCTGATGGAATAATAAAATTACCTTCATTTTCCGTATTTTCTTCAAAATCCATTTGTTTAACCACAAAATTTACAATATTTAAGGACAGCTTCAATAAACACTAAACAACTTACGACTTTTTTACTTAGTTACCCTTTATCCAGTACCTGACTTGATATATACACTTTATTGTCAACTACTATCAAATTTTACCGCTATAGGCTGTTTGGAAATGAAAGAGAGTAATAAAACCTCGAGATAAGAGCCGGCCATGGGCGTGGTAATATTTCGTTTCAGGTAATTGTCAGGTAACACTAATGCTAACAGGTAATGGATGTACATTAGTATATTTTACTTTTATTTGAATCTAAAAATACAGNTAAAACGCAAATACTTTTTTGTTACATTCATTGGGGAAAATCGTGAGAAACGTAACTTTATGTAATTCAATATGGTGGAAACGCCCACTGGCGGCCATCTTGGAAACTTGAAAATAATTTCCAGCATTTTCCCTTGCCCACTTTACCTATAAATTTGTTTACCGTAGCTCTCTACGATCACTAGTTTCTGAGATACAGCCGCTTACCTCGCTTATTTGCCCACCCTGTACAATTATTCAATGAACAATCTAAATAAAAAATTTAGATAAAGGGACGAATACAATGAAGATGAATTTTTCGGGACAAAACGTCTGAATCTGGCTCGGGCTGAGGCAGTACAGTATTGAGGGTCATGAAGGCTTGCAAAAAATGTAATAAAATTTACAGGGTAGAATTTAAAAAATGAAGTTGATGATGGTCCTGGAGAGACGAAACGTTACATATAAAAATTGATTATGCCATTCGATAGAGGGCAAAAAGTGACCATGAGAAAGGGTTCTTATTTTTTCGCCTCAAACAAGGCTGAAATAGAACAAAAACGGATTTCCAGAATTTTGTTTTTTTTTCAAATATTTCGAAAACTAATCATGTCCGCCTTGATTTTTTAGAGGCATAATGTTGATCCCCTGATTATGCAACTTTGCCCCCATTTAAGCTACTTCGTACCTCTTACCGTTTCCGAAATTCTTGTAGTGAGAAGCGAATTTATAACAGCCTGTATATAGCAACTTGATAATGTGTATCTTTGTGAGAGTACAGGGTATCCCAAAGTTCGCGTCTCGGGCCCATAACAGACAAATGAAAAACGACAGTAAAAACCTGTTTAAATGGCGTAAATCGGGACTCG